CAACATGTTCCTCATACACTCGTTTCTAAAGGTGGCGATTGGCTGAACGTCTGGGGACTTGCAGCTGTTGTCCTCCATGAGAAATGAAATCTGATAGACCTCCAGACAATGGAATTGTGAGGCACTTATAAAGCTCTCTAAAAATAACCAGAGAGAAGAAGATGGAGCATGAGGCTGGGATCGGAAGAACGGAACAGCAACAACAACAATAATAATAATAATAAGTTAAATAATTTAAAATAACTACTGTTCTTTTGAAATTTCTAAAGTGTTGTTGTTAAATAACATAACAATTCTTAAAATATTTTCAATAATTAGAATTAAGCTAAAATAAAATAACATAAAATAACACAAATAAAATAACATAAAATAACAATAACACAAATAAAATAAAATAAAATAAAATAAAATAAAATAAAAAGCTGGAAAATATGCCTCAGAAACTAACTGAAATAAAATAACCCAAAGTACTAAAATTACTAAAACTGAAATAAAAATCAAGCTGAAAATATATAAAAAGAAAAATTTTATAAAATATAAAATATATAGAAATATAAATTATAAAATGACTAAAACTTAAAAATAAAATTCAAAATATTAATAAATAATGAATAAACAATAAAAGCATATAAATAATACTAAAATAAAACTGACTTTCTAGTCATCAAAGAATCCACAAAATCCAACATTGATTATAATAAAAAATATTTATCATTAGAATGATTTCTGAAGAATCATGTCACAATATTTGCATACATAAGTTGTTAAAATATTCCTATATTATTAAATATTTTTCATACTGTTTTTCATATTAGATGAAAAACTTGCCTTGGGAACTGTCTGAAATAAAATAAGCTGAAGCACTAAAGTACTGAAGTACTACAATTACTAGACTAAAACTGAAATAAAAATAAAGTTATGAAATACAAACTATATAGAAATATACAATATAAAAATGACAAAAGCATATAAACTTACTAAAACTTAAAAACTAAGAAAATAAAAGCTAATTCATAATTTTAATAAAAAACAAACAAACTATAAAAACATACATAATACTAAAATAAAACTGACTTTCTAGTCATCAAAGAATCCACAAAATAATTATTTTTCAACATTGATAATAATAAATATTTCTTGAACAGCAAATCATTAGAATGTGTATATATAGTTGCATATATAATTTAATATAATTACACATTTTTTTATACTGCAATACAAGACATTTGACTGTTAGTGTATAAATACACCATATTTCAAGTACAGTCTTATATATATTTAGGATCGCAGGTAGAAATAGATGCTCAAAAACTGCAGACATGGGCATTTTCACCAATGGCTGTGCATGTGAAATGAAAGATAAGCACAGATTTCCGGAGTAAGTACCTGCATCACACAAAACCACAGAAGTGAAGTGAAGCTCTCGAGCTTCTAGCTTCATTGTCCGGAAAAGGGCAGACGTCCAGAGACCTCCTGCCCGCGCGATTGTGACGGCAAAATGAAAGAAGTGCCTCTTTTCTCTGAGGCTAAACCCAAGCATTAATGAAAAAGATCAATAAATAAATAATATCCACAATTGGATCCTCTTCTTTTAAAATGTAATGTCCACTCCTGCCACATCTCTCGCAGGAGAGAAGAGGTTATTTACCTCCTCTACCATTTCACAGGCTGAATAGTAATGATACAGTATTACATTTCAGCTGGACAGATGTGCCTTCAAACTCTTGGGGCCCCTTTACAGGCACGAATGCGCATGCAAAACCCGTCAGAAGAGTTTATGGGAATTATGAAACAAGCTCCACGGGATTATCATCACTCATTTTCCAGGTTCGTGCGGAGCCGGAGAAAACACAAGCATCCGCCAAAAATAACAATCTGCAAGTGAGTCATCCAAAACAATGTGCTGTGATGATCCGCACAAAACAGCAGGGCTCGCATGATGTTCGCATGCGTGCTTTAACGCCACAATGCAGAAAATTCTGGAGACATTATGATTTTTAAATGTTTAATGAAGTCTATTTTGCTCACTAGGACTGCATTTATTTAATTAAAAATACAGTAAAAACTGTGAAATGTTCTTACAATTTAACAGAACCGTTTTCTATTTAAATATATTGTAAAATGTAATTTATTTCTGTGATCAAAGCTGAATTTTCAGCATCATTACTCCAGTCTTCAGTGTCACATGATCTTCAGAAATCAATCTAATATGCTGATTTGCTGCTCAAGAATTGATTAATCTGATTATTATCAATGTTAAAAAAAATTTTGCCGCTTAATATTTTGTGGAAATGTTTTTTTTTCTTCAAGATCTTTTGATGAATAGAAAGTTCAAACGAACGGTGCTTATCTGAAATAGACACTTTTGTAACGTTGTAAATGTTTTTTTACTGTCGCTTTTGATCAATTCAATGCACATTTACAGAATAAAAGCATTCGTTTCTATTAAAAACACACAGATACTCACATATCCCAGATATTGGAATGGTAGACTATCATGGTTTCTGCATGAATATGAAGCAGCTCAAATGTTTTCAACATTGATAATAATCAGAAATGTTTCTTGAGCAGCAAATCAGCATATTAGAATGATTTCTGAAGGATCATGTGACACTGAAGACTGGAGTATTGACGCTGAGGAAAATTCAGCTTTGCATCACAAATGGAATAAATTACATTTTACAATATATTACAATAGAAAACAGATATTTTAAATTGTAATAATATTTCACAATATTAGAGTTTTTACTGTATTTTTTAGCACATAAATGCAGCATTGGTGAGCAGAAGAGACTTCATTGAAATCATAATGTAGCTGAAACACTCATTTGAGCGACTACTTCTAATTAGGGTTGCAAAAAGGTGGAAAATTTCCAGTAAATTTCGGAAATATTCCAGAAATTTGTTTAACTTTCCAGGATTTTATTTTATTTTTTTAATATTCCAGGGATTTTTGGAAAGTGTCCGGAAATGTTCCACCCATTTGCAACCCTACTTCCAATTGTATTCAGTTTGGATGCACAAGAAAAAGGAGGGAAAGAATAAATTAGACACAATTCCCTTTATTGGCATGGTGAGGCTGATGAAAACTACACATAAAAAAGAAAATTCACAACAAAGATTGTACAATATGTACAACTACAAAGGCATTGGTTAGGACTCAGCAGAAGGCAACATGGATAGGAGACAAATAGAAGATAACAGCCAAACACAGTCCCCTTGACCCCCAGTACACACACACTCTATCAAATCCACGCACACACACACACACACACACACACAGCCTCATTTAGATAGATCTGCTTCTTCATGGAAACAACGAAAAAAAAATCGTCCAAAGTGGTGGCAAATCCTTCAGTAGTTTTTACTATGGTAAAAAGTCTCCCACTCCAAAAGATACACCCCATCAGGTCTACAGCAATTTACAAAGCAGATTTGCAACAGACACGCTGCAATGATTAAAGCCACACATATCGAACGCGACATGATGCCGTACCCAATCTCTGTGCAGAAAATAATGCTCTTTCATTGCCTCAAACCGGACATTTACACTGTGATTCTTCTAATATGGGTTTCTCATTCAAAAACAAATCTGCACAACAACAAAACCTGCCGCTAACTGACAAAGAAAGGTTACTCTAAGTGTCACTGACAAGGGCCTGTTGTGGCCGTTTTGAATAATTTACAGTTCCTCTGAGGTACCTTCAGACCACAGCAAAGACAAAAATAGCTCTCGCTTTGGAAAGAGACTTGATCTCATAGACGCAATTTTTTGGCTTTTTAACCCTTTAAGTCATTGCTTGTTTTAAATTCTCACTTCTTTCACTCTCTCTCACACACATGAGCTGCATTCACAACCAATTTCTCTTTCCAGCGGTGGTCTTAGGCAGTGTTGGGGAAAGTTACTTTTAAAAGTAATGCATTACAATATTGCGTTACTTCCTAAAAAAGTAACTAATTACGTTACTTAGTTAATTAATGTATGTTCACATTTATTCTAGAACTAAAGTAACATCTTACTCCCGCTTTCTCCCAACATGGGCACAGGAGAGCTTTCAATCAATAAATGGGGAAAAAAAAGTAACTGGCGTTACTTATTTGAAAAAGTAACTTGAAGCGTTACTTTACTAGTTACTTGAAAAAAAGTAATCTGATTACGTAACTCGCGTTACTTGTAATGCGTTACCCCCAACACTGGTCTTAGGCACTGGAATAAACAGAGTCTGGGTAATATGTCATGTCTAAAACCATACAACAACATGAGCTAAAATACAGCTTTGAAAAATAATTTATTGCTTTATTATTATTAGCATTTTTTAATTCACATTTTCATATTCCATTATTACTTTTCATCATTTTTGAGTTATTGTGAGTAATGACAAGATTAGCATCATCATATATATAATTTTTTACATCAAATACATCTTTTTTTTTTTAAATCTTTAAAAAAAATCTGGAAAGAAAATTGTAAACTTTAGTTTGGCATTCACATAATCAACAGTGTGGAGCAAAGACAGATTTTCTGTGGTACAACAAAATACCTGCAAAATTATTTTATTGCTTCATGTAATAAAAAAAGAGATGAAAAAGGGAGACGGAAGTTTTTTAGAGCTAGAAAAACAAGTTCGGAGCAGCAAAATTCATCATGAGCCTATACAATATGTTTTTTGTTCTATCTCTGAAGGCATATATAAAAACGATATTTCTTAGAACTTTTAAATTTACATCTTTTCCAGTGATTGTTGAATAACAAATAATATAAATAGCAAAATTTGTAAGGCGCATCACGTGAGATGGCTGCCATAAATATTTAGATTAGAATACTGAGATAGATACATAAATAAGCACGAGTAATTCTGTGTTAAAAGAGTAATTATCTCTTTGTGAAAGTGTATTATCAAACAGGAACAATAACAATGATTCGTGTGCACAGAGAAATTAAATAAAACCTCTTGATTCCTTCAAGACATAAAGGATAAAAAAATATCTTGGGGCTTATCTTTTTTTTTTTTTTTACACAATAGTGAACATAAACGATAACTTACACACTGCATGTATGTACGGAAAACACTGAGTTATTAACTTCAAAATCAGATGAAACCTCACATGGAGTTTTGAAATGAAAAAAAGAAAACCAGAAGAAAAACAGAGACAAAAATTGTTGCATACTACCCCAAAAAAAGAGCGATAAATCTCCATACGTATTTTTACAATCAAATCACGTCATCTAAACACCATGTATGTTACACATCATCGTAATGACTACAGATCAACATTCTCGATTAAGAAAAGTTCATCTTAAAAAGGCTGCATTTTACAGTGCATAGCTGTAACAAACAAAGAACGCTGATATGCACATCAAATTAAAATATTCGTTTTGTAAATAGGCGATAAATGTAGACAACGTCACCTTCCGAGAGATTTTCCCCAAACCAAACCCTTCTCAACAGTGTAACACCACATCCAAACACCAGATTAAAAAAGGAACAGAGAAAGCCCACAAAAATAAACTCCAAACAATAAAAACAGACTGAACGAGCTGCGCTTTTCGCCTCTCAAAAGTGCCGAGGGTGATGCGGCGTGTGGAGCGAACTCTGACGAAGATTCGTGTCTCTTCCAGAGCCTCACGCGGCACACGGATCTGTGTAGTCCACTAAAGTAGTGTCCGCTACTTCACTGGCTATTCCCACAGGTAAAGTCTCTCCCCAGCGTTGCAGCAGCTAGGTTCATGTAAACTTTGCTTGCAGATATACATATATATCCCTTCATATACGTAGAGCTTTTTTCATCCACATATACTCTTTCCACTTAGATAAAGTGTAAAACGTCTTGTAGTCTTGTATTCAAAAGAACAGAAACAACAGTGAGGTATTGCGAATCCCTCTCTTTGCAGCCAGCCGGTGCAGCGGTGCAGCTCATTACCTTCTCAGGCTATACTGGGCCTCTCGCAACAAGCTGTCAAAATCCATGGAGTCGTACTTGCTTTTAGTGGAGGCTGGATCAAAGTCGTCAGAATGGGAATCTGGAGGAAGAAAGTGGCACATTTGAACATCTGTGGAAATCAGGGACGCTGGCCTCATTTTAAAAGGTGCTATTGTGGGGTAGTCATGGTCTAATGGTTAGAGAGTCGGACTTGTAACCCAAAGGTTGCGGGTTCGAGTTACATGTCACGTCACTTTACTGTGTGTTACTCGTTTTGCAAGAGCTGCTTTGTATGGAAGCTTGTTCCTGCCACATGCATGACAAAACTTGCTTTGGTAATTTAATTATGAGATAAAACAAGTCAGAATTATGACGTCACGTCACGATTATGCATTATCTCATAATCTCGATTTTATGTCAGAATGTTAACTTTTTATCTCATTATTGTATTAATGTAAATTTCAACTTTCTGTCATAATTACGACTTTTTATCTCATAATTTTGACTCATCTTATCTCATTATTATGATTTAGTGCGTCAATCTTGACTTAACTCAAAATTACAATTTTGTTGTCATTTTAGCCTTCTCATAATTCTTATCTCATAATTTACTTGTCAATTTTGACTTATGTCAATTATGCATTATTATCTCATAATGTAAACTCTTTATGTCAGAATTAAATGCATTTATTATGATGCACAATGCATAATTATGATTTAGTATGTCATAATCTCAATTTATCTCATAATTTTGACATTTTGTCAGTTTAGATTATTTCAATTTTCTTTTTGTAAATTTAGAATTTTAAGTAATATTTGTATTCTTGTCTCATAATTTAGATTTTTTATGCCAGAATCTTTACTTTTTATCTCATAATTTACTTTCAGTTCTTTTTATTGCATTATGTTGACGTAGTATCTCATAATTGTTGTATGTCATAATTATGATTTACCAAAGCATGTTTTATATATGTGGCAGAAATGGGCTTCCATAGAGCTTGGACGTTGTTTGATAAATACCAACGTCACTTTACTGTGTGTTACTCGTTTTGCAAGAGCTGCTTTGTATGGAAGCCTGTTCCTGCCACATGCATGACAAAACTTGCTTTGGTAATTTAATTATGAGATAAAACAAGTCAGAATTATGACGTCACGTCACGATTATGCATTATCTCATAATCTCGATTTTATGTCAGAATGTTAACTTTTTATCTCATTATTGTATTAATGTAAATTTCAACTTTCTGTCATAATTACGACTTTTTATCTCATAATTTTGACTCATCTTATCTCATTATTATGATTTAGTGCGTCAATCTTGACTTAACTCAAAATTACAATTTTGTTGTCATTTTAGCCTTCTCATAATTCTTATCTCATAATTTACTTGTCAATTTTGACTTATGTCAATTATGCATTATTATCTCATAATGTAAACTCTTTATGTCAGAATTAAATGCATTTATTATGATGCACAATGCATAATTATGATTTAGTATGTCATAATCTCAATTTATCTCATAATTATGACATTTTGTCAGTTTCGATTATTTCAATTTTCTTTTTGTAAATTTAGACTTTTATGTAATATTTGTATTCTTGTCTCATAATTTAGACTTTTTATGCCAGAATCTTTACTTTTTATCTCATAATTTACTTTCAATTCTTTTTATTGCATTATGTTGACGTAGTATCTTATAATTGTTTTATGTCATAATTATGATTTACCAAAGCATGTTTTATATATGTGGCAGAAATGGGCTTCCATAGAGCTTGGACGTTGTTTGATAAATACCAAAAATACTTATTATTAGGTTTTAAAATGCATTAAACTGCAACTCATACATACAATGACTTAAATACACATCTTCTACTGTATGATGAGCAGGTTTTTTAAAATGCTGGATTAAAATTCATTTTGATATTTTGAGTCAAAAATGTCAGGGTGATAAAGCTGTCAAGATATTGTAAATAATAAAAAAAAAACATGATATTTATAAACAATTTATTATATTTGTAAAAATAATTTTGGTTTTATTTTGATGAAATACATGAATTCAAGCTGTAAAGAACATTTTAAAATGTAAACCTTTTAGGTATAAATGTTGTTCAATATGAAACCAACATGAGCACATCTCTTTAAAAAAAACAAAAAACTTGGCATATGTGTTTGAAACTAAAACTTTTAAAAGATTTTGTCACTGTGTCAGTATTATACAACATTATATATTTTACTCTAAAATGCAGAGGTCATCATTTAAAACCCAACAAATCAGTCTCCTTGCCCTCTGTTTCAACCTCTGCTGTAATATACCTCTCCACTGTCTTGAACCACCTAGTTTAATAATTAAACACTCAGGAGCAACTTCCCGAACATGAGAACCCAATGATCATTAAACATACAGTTTGATTCGCATCCAGGATAACAAATACGGCTGACTTATCTCTAGTGGCAGACAGCTTCACAAATGGTGCCCCACATGCACAGCGGCGCAGTCAGAGCGTGTGAGAAATGGGAATGACCGTGCCATGCAAGAGATGCCAGTCGTGATCTAATACTACGGCTAAGGGGAAAGGGTGTCTTGCCGTGCACCTTGAAAGATGAAAAATGCCCCTGCGCTCTACTTAGAACTAATGGACGGTGTCTCGGAAAACAAGGAGGAAAGAGGAAGAGAAAAGCAGAAGATTGAGAAGAAGGTTCTGAGGCCGCTGTGACGTGGCATTATTCTAGTCACTTGCCTCTTTTTCCCGCCATTCCCTCTTCATCTGAACCTATTGCTGTGTTTCAGCCTACACTCACTGTAAAACCCAGCGTATAGCGAAAGGCCTCAAGAAAATGAAGGTCAAGCCATTTATCTGCCCTGAAGCTGGGATAGATTCCCAAATACAATGACTCTGCTATATGGCCCTTAACCAAAGCTTCCGCGCTCACCTTTGGAGAGCGTATTATGTCCACAATTGGACATAAAAAAACCTTTGGCCTTACCCTGTGCTTTTGAAATGAACGCTAATGTCCTCATTATTTGAGCAGAAGTGCTCTTGTCCCTTTCCATTGACCTGCAGCACCATCAACGCCACTGAGATGGATCATCCCAACGTCCTGAGTATTACACGTCCCTGACCTCACATTTCGCAGAAGTGGAGCATTGACTAAACATTGAAGTGCATGCCATTCCCCAGCATCCCATTTTTCCTGTTATAACAGGAAGTAATAATCTCACGTTGCATGTTGCTGCATCTTCCCTTCCCTAACATGTAAAGGCGCTGCCCTCAGGATTCAATTCCTTTGCCTCCTATCTCATCCCTTCCCCCAAAAGACACTTTTCCCCTTTGGGTGGAGATGATGCCTATTACTGCCACAACCCTATCACAGGTATCATGGGTAGAAAAAAGCCCCATAACATTTTACAGAAGAATTTGTCACTCACAGATCCATCAATCAGATCTAGATTTTTACCTTGGTAATCCTGGACAGAGGGCTTGGTGCATATAAAATGAAATCATTGGCGTCTAAAAGCCTTTGGGGAAGAGGGTGATGGGATCAGTGTTAAAGGAATAAATACATCTGTTGTTTTAGTATTATTTTGTACTATTATGATAATTATTAATATTTTGAATTAACTTTTTCATTGTCGGTTTTCATTTTAATTTTAGTAATTTTATGATGTGCTTCTGTTGTTTTTATTAGATTTGTTTTCTTTTCTATTTAGCTTTATTTTTTATTTCTGTTTTAGTTTTGGTAATTTTAGTACTTCATCTTAAAATTACTCTTTTTTTAAAATAATTTTTTAAAATCTAATATTTATATTTGATCTTATTTTATTTTATTTCAGCTTTGCAATTAACCAACACACTCTAATATTTATATTTTATTTTATTAACGAAAATAGTTTTAGTTCTATTTAACAATAACGACACTGGAGACAACACAGGAAAATACTTACATTTTTGTAATTTTGTTACATTCTTTTGTTGATCTATTAGATTTTAATTAAATTTTATTACATTTTATTTTATTTTAAAATTTCTATTTAGCTTTATTTTTATTTCAGTTTTAGTTTTGGTAATTTTAGTACCTCATCTTAAACGTATTTTATTTCAGTTAGAGGCTACATATATATATATTTTTTTTTTAAGTTTAAGTTTTTCATCTAATACTTATATTTTATTTTATTTCAGCTTTGCAATTAACCAAAACAGTCTAATATTTATATTTTATTTTATTTCAGTTAACAAAAAATAGTTTTAGTTCTATTTAACAATAACAACACTGGAGACAACACAGGAAAATACTTACATTTTTGTAATTTTGTTACATTCTTTTGTTTATCTATTTTAATTTAATTTAATTTAATTTTAAGATTTCTATTTAGCTTTATTTTTATTTCAGTTTTAGTTTTGGTAATTTTAGTACCTCATCTTAAACTTATTTCATTTCAGTTAGTTGCCAAGGCTACATATTTTTTTTTTTTTTAAGTTTAAGTTTTTCATCTAATACTTATATTTTATTTTATTTCAGCTTGGCAATTAACCAAAACAGTCTAATACTTATATTTTATTTTATTTCAGCTTGGCAATTTACCAAAACAGTCTAATACTTATATTTTATTTTATTTCAGCGTGGCAATTAACCAAAACAGTCTAATATTTATATTTTATTTTATTTCAGCCTTATTTCAATTGACAAAAATAATTTTCGTTCTATTTAACAATAACAACTGTGAAGTCGGCACAGGAAAAGACACAATACAAAAAAATAGTGCACAATAAATTTGCATGTATTCCAATTCTGGTCCAGCTGCTGGATTTATCCAAAACTGCTGGTCAACCGGCATGGCTTAGAATAGGAGAGAATAGAGACTGGACTGGGGCGGATGGAGAAAAAGTTGCCTATGAATTAGTCACTTGCTGACAGAGCTCTTCCTCTTATTTCTGTTTTTTGTCTATCTCTTTCTGCAGGCTGCTCAATCTTCAGTGTCATGGTGAGGTCTTGCTGCTGTTCAACATCCCAGCAGCGGGCAGAAGGAAGCCTGTTTTGGAAGAGGAGGCTGATGGAACGTGACCTTGCTCTCCTACCCATCCTTACTGTTTTCACATCTCACATAAACCATCCAGAGCACCAAAGATTGTACATGAATAAAGCAGAAATACTATATAGAGAATTCCCACAATGCCTCAAAACTCGATCTGCTTTCCTAGCAGTTTTTCATTCTGTATTAAGGTATTGTTTTTTTATCTGTTGTGTCTCTAGACAGTTGTGTTGAAATGCAGCCAGCCTGTGTACTTACCTAAGTCTGTGTAATTCGATTTACTGTACTGCCTTTGTCCACCAAGGCAGAGCTCAAAGTGAGGCTCATTCGACCTGCGCAAGGTGTGTCCATTCTCAAGGGCAGCGAGCGCATCACAAGTGTAGCGGTAGGTGATGAAGCCAAAGTTATCCCTGGGTTGACAAATAGAAAATGTAGTGTCAGTCGAAGAGAGTACAGGAACTATGTGTGCTTCTTTCAGCTGCCATTCAAAATATATAAATGCAAAATTGGAATTAGTAAGGGCCATATTTACTAAACAGGACGAATTAGTGTGATATTGCAGTCCCATAAAAGCACAGATGGGAGTGGAAAGTTTTCCGGGTGATCTACTGATCTACTGACAATGTGCAAATTAACCCTCTGAAGCTTCTAACGTGGTGGTCAGAAATGGCAGATTTTTTTTTTCCCCCCAATGAAATGAATGTACTATATTTTAGTTTGATAATATATATATATATATATATATATATATATATTACATTTTGTATATTTAGGGGATTTCATGGTATTGAGTTATATTTATAGAATAGTTATGATCCTTTTATTACCTGTTTACCACTTTCTGAGCATAGACCTGAAAATGAAATTTCCAACTTAAACTGTTGTAAATCTTGAATTCTTTAGAGTTTGGTCTCTTTTTAAAGAATACACTTGATGGCAGATTATTGCTGAAGTGAAAAAAAGTGAAACTTAAAAAAAAAGTTATAGAAGTTTAAGTTTATTATTATTAAAAAATATATAAATTTTACATGAAATATATATTTTGCAAAATATTTTTTTACTCTAAAACTGTATACTCAATCAATGTAAACTCAGCACACCTGAAACGATGGGTGCATGGGAACAAAATCAAACAAAAAGTTGAATCAAAAATAAGTAACGAACCCGCACACTATCAATACTTGCTAATTCTTAAACTTTATTAAACGCAACGTTTCGGTCCACATTTGCCTGATGAAGGTCAGTGGACCGAAACGTTGCATTTAATAAAGTTTAAGAATTAGCAAGTATTGATAATGTGCGGGTTCGTTACTTATTTTTGACTCTAAAACTGTATGAAAATCAAAGCCATGAATCTAATCAAGTTTTGTTCCAAATTTAAGTTTGATATCTCAAAAAATGAGCTTTCAGTCAAATTTTGTTTGGGCGCAGTACCAAACGTTTCCACTAGATGAAATTCACTTCCCATTCATTTCCAAAGTGGTCAATTTTGACCATTTAATCCTTTCTAATCATGTCCATGATTTTTTTTTTTTTCTGTAAAAAATGACCGAACAGCACCAGAGGGTTAAAGAACACAGACACAGTCAGTTAATTTCCATAATGACCAACGCAATCTATAGAGCTCATGATGTAATCTACTAACTAGCAATATGGGTTCAAAAATTATTTTTGGAGCATTAAATAATAGTGTAATTACCAGTAAATTGACTAATGCAAACTGTACCAAATTACCAAAAATACAAAAATGTTGCATCTAAAAGGGAAACTCCGACAAAACCATATGCAATAAGGTCAGCCGCAAAAAAAGCTGCATCCATGCCTTTTTATCACGAATGCTTCCGTGTGCGTCTTTAGTAAATCCTGGCAGTAGTTTTTTTTTTTTTTTACGCCAAGAAAGGGTTTGCAATGGCACAAACTGATATTAAATGTAGCCCTAAATATGTGACTTCTCGCTTTCTGTTATAGCATAATTCTATTTGTATTCAAACACAAACTTGCATGTGCAATGAGAAGCAGTGAAGTCTGCTTTACTAATCACCATCCAATGGCCGCAAGTACATCATTAACTAGATTTAAACGATTCCTTTTATGCTGAAGGACAATATTGACTCCCTTTAACCACTCGACACACACACAATCCAGAAAAACACACAGAGGCAGGCCCACGGTCTTACCCGTCATGTCTCAAGTTGACTGTGCACTCCTCAATCTCACCGAAGACTTCAAAGCGGCGTTTGAGCTCAGTGCGTGTGCTGTTGGTGCGAAGACGTCCCACATACACCACTCGCCTCTCCTCCTGGTCATAAAGGGAACGAGAGAGAAGAGATTAGTCTAACATAGTGCTTCTGCTTTCTTTTTTCCCTCTTCCCCCTCTCCTTGACTTCTCTCAACCTCACCCCATGACTGTAATTAACATCCACCACTGTGGGAAAGCCAAGAACAGTCTGGAGGAAATGGCTGGAGGACTCTCCTTTATCTTTTTCACTCTGTTTTGTGTGTGTGTGTGTGTGTGTGTGTATGTGTGTGAGTGGATAAGAACAAACTAAACTGAAAGAGTCGGTCTCTCTCTTAATGTGTAAATCGGCGACTATCCATGGGATTGTTGATAATGTTTTCCATTATTTTTATTATATAGGTCATGTAAGTGAACAAAATGAAATCTAATTATTTTTATTTTATTAAATTATTTAAAATATCTAATCATTTCTATCTAAATCATATATTTGATCAGATTAAACATTATTACATACTAAAGTATATTAATTTATGAAAAATGCTGTCAACATTTCTGAGCGATGATAAAACATTGAATCAGATTTCTGAATTGAGTACCAACTCAATTTTTTTTTCTAAACATTTTTATGTTTAAGACAGATGCATCTGCTGTAGTGCACGACAAAGTTGGGCAGAACTATAATATGTAACTGAAATTTAGGAAATAAAAAGTGTGTTACAATAATTTTGATTTTCAGGATGTTGCTTATTTTACGTCGGCAGCATGGATGAATTATAGGACAATCCTAACATTGTCACTGAGCTACAGCAGTGTTATGTACAAACATTTATTTATAATAATAATAATAATTAGTTATTTTTTAATAGTTATTTTTTTCCAAATAATATAGATCAAACGCCTAAATGTAGGGCGTGCCAAGCAACACATCGCATTAAAACAGAAATCAACTGATGTGCAGCCTCAGATAAGAACAAACTAAACTGAAAGAGTCGGTCTCTCTCTTAATGTGTAAAACGTGGACTATCCATGGGATTATGCAAACAGGATGAGGGGCTCATATTATAGAGCTATGACACAATATAACTTTGGTCTCTGTTGATTTTTTAGCACATTTTAATCAACAAAAAAAAGTGGTTTTGAGCTTTATAAATGCTGCAGACGTGTTTTGGATTGAGAAACGGAGTCCAAATCTCTTATACAGTATGTGCAGAATTTCTTATACTTGCAAGTTGATAACTTTCATCAATCTTTTATCGTCTACTCTGTTTACAACTAGAGCTGTGTGATACAGCTAAAAAAAAATAATAATCTCAATATTTTTCAGTCTTGACATAAATTCAATATATATCTTGATATTTTTGTTTTTGCTTTTTCAACCAAACAGCATCATTGCCAAGCATATATAAATCAACTGATGTGCAGCCTCAGGTGTGCGTTTATCATCAATTTTAGCCACAGGCTAATATAACTTTGTTCCATTTTTCAATGAAGCACAAGCGAGAACACATAAATTGAGAAAACGTGAAGACCCCACCAGGCTGGATACATAAAAATGGAGGTATTTAATTCAGTTTGCTAATCTTGAGACAAAGCACAAGCCTCAGGCCTTATTACGTGCCGTTATTTATTCATATGCTCATGTACCTGCCATTATGTGTGACAAAATATACTTATGATCCTCAACAATAACCAGAGGTCTCTTGTAAGTCATACATAAAATTATGATACAAATCTATTGGCCCTCAACAGAGTCATAATTCACCCGTGTACATGATGTCACCATGTCACAACAGCAACAGCAACAACAAAAACAAAAACCTACAAATTAGCCAGAACACCTGGGAGGGCTGTTTCTTTTTTGCATTTCCTCTGAAGCTCCCCTCGAGCTTCCATCATGTACAATAGGAGACAAAAGTGTTTGCTGAATTGGTGGTTTTGTTGCTGACAGCTGATAAATGCGGTGAGGTTTTAAAGATGACACCCTGAGACTAGCGCTTCATATGAAGCTCTCACATCCTTTGCCCCCCCAAAACCTCTTCTGACAGCTCAGCCGCTGCTGCTGGTAATTGTCTCGCTGCCGCAGAACGTGGAGAAAAGAGAAAAAAAGGGGGGGAAAAAAACGTACGCCAGGGCGTACGCATTATTGGACGTGTGCATTTATCAGTGAACTGAGTTGGAAAGCCGTCTCATTTCACAGTCTGGTCAGGCACAGCGAAAGAGAACAAAACTGATATTTCATCTCAGAGAACTGCATTTCAAATATGTAAGTGTTCGAAATTAAACTGCTAATTTTGAGCCCAAGCATTAACATACCTTTGATTTGAGGGGGGATCTTATTTCAACTTTCCCCTTGTCTGGTCGAATGCATGTAGCCCACGGTGTGATTAATAGAATCCGGCACCGTTCAGAAACGCCACCGAGATGTTAAAAATACACAACTGGGAGATAAAGAGGAAACGCGTGTAGCCTGAATGATTCAGAGCACCGTCTTTGTATGAGTTCACTTTCTGAGCAAGAGAGAGAGAGCGCTGGGATGGCTGTGTGCTTCGAGCTTTCTGTAGGCAAACACAGTGATGGAGGCAGAGAAAGCCTGAGAGAAGGATAACGCCTGTGCTAATGTACGATTCCTGCCAGCAGGAGAGAGACCTCGACTAAAAAACACCTCCAAGCATAAATGGGTCTTCTTTAACTATGGGCATGTTTGGCCCTGTGGACTATTAGAAAATCAACAGCTTTAAAACGCACTCTCACTAGTTTGCTTTAATTGTCTACTAATAATATCCATACAGTGGACAGACATTTGAAAAAAATATATAATAAATCTGTAATTTTGTTCTGAAACATTTTCAACCCAGTGTCATTTCCATTTCTGATTAATCTCATACTGGGATGGAAATAGCAGAATATTTTTCGGATAATTTGACAAAATTACAGCTTGGAAATGCACAGTTACTAGTTATTTTATTAGTTATTTCTTTTAACTGCTGTTCAGATTATTATGTTTTAATCTAAAAAAATCAATCAATATTTTTAAATGAATATTTGGTACCACTTTAGACTAGGGGGCACTATTCACTATTAATTAGTTTCTTATTAGCATGCATATTAATAACATATTAGCTGTTGGTTAGTACTTATAAAGTACAAGTATTCTGCAAGACCATATAGATCCCTTAACTCTGCCCCATACCTAAACAAAACTACTACAACAACTACCTTACTTACTAACAATAAGCAGCAAATTATGAGTTTATCGAGGGAAAACTCTTATCTTGAATATGTGTTCCCTAATCTAAAGTGTTACCAAACATTTTTTAGATGGAAAGTCGGGGTCATAAAATCTAAACGTAAAAGGCATTTGAAAAGTATCAAAAGTAAATTATGAAAGCAGAGAAAAAGTTACCAATTAAGTTGTATATGCCCTTTCTATAACAAACCAGCGGCTCTATTTGTAGTTTAAACATGTAAGTTTTACTAAAAAACAACCCCAGGGTTATAAATGTGTCCATAATTGAAAAATCATCCAATAACTAAATAAAGTACTTAGGCGAGTGCACTTACTATTGCTTTTTGCCGTTGTCTCTCCCTCTGCTCGGCCCTCTCACATTCCCGTTTCTCATAGTCGCGTCGGTACTCTTCCCGCTTCAGATGCACATGCTGGTATTCCTCATAGCTGTCATACCTGCAGTTAAAAAAAAATAAAAAATCATATCAACTTCTGTCTAAACACAGAACTTTAAGAAATAAAAAAGAGATTATCTTTAGTATCTGAATTGTTTCTCCAAGATACTTGTTTAAGTCTCCTGCTTCTCAAATACTTTTCTGAGAAAAAAGTCTCCAGTAATAGTGTCTCCAAAAGAGTGGAAGACAAACAAACACATTAATAAGATGTCTCATTACATCGCAAAAGGTTACAGCTCCCAATGGCGGGACTCTTAAGGGAATACGGCAGAAATTTGGCAGCTGTGTCTGTCAGCACAACTTCACATGCCATTACTTTTTGCTTAGTTTGAACTTTACGTCCAAAAAGTGCAACTTTTTTTCTACAGTCATTTGCAACAGAGGCAACATGGTGTAAAAGCACAAAATGAGCGGACTAAAGCACCATCAGGGAAAAGGTGTAGCTAGGAGGTAGTGGGTCCCTAATGCAAGCTGCTCTTGCCAACGAAAGCTTTATTGTAAAAGTTTGAAAAGTTAAGGCCTTGAAATGATGTATCATCATAACTCATCATATCAATTAGACAGAGTCAGCAAGTGACTTGCTTCCTTTGCATAAGGACAGACTCTGAAAGTATTGCAGACACAGTACATTATCTTGCAGCACTTATTTAAGTCTGTCTCATGTACGGGTCTATAATATCAGCATATATGAATTTTTCTAGTGTAAGTGTCGCATGATACATACACAGTATATTAAAGAGTGACAAATGGATAAGTATTTGCCATGCGCAAGTACTTGCCTGGGTCTCCGACCAAAAATAGAATGAGCCTGGGACTGAGGGCTTCTATAAATCCTGGGAATAAAAGTGCTATTGTCCATATTGTGAGGAGACCTGGGTAGAAGCAGAAAGACAACAAAAGTCTTAGAACAATGTAAAACCAAGACTGAACACTGAACATTGTCTTTACTTCTAAAGGATCACAGTGAACTGAAATGTACGTATAACTTTAAATAAAAGGCATAAGCTAAAAAAGTGAAATTGAGGGTAAAACATGAAATATAAAATGCTGATGTGACTAAATTCAGACGTATAGGTGTATCGTTAGATGTTTGTAAACATGAACAATGACAATGTCACTTGATATTAAAAGGGGGTTTAAAATCGGAGAAATCTTCTTTATTTCGGTACAGTTTTAGTCTCCTTTATCAGTACAATCACTATGTATCTCTAAAGGAGGCACTGTAAAGATTGTCTTTCTGACATGCTATCTGGATGACCCGTTTTAAATTGTCCAGGACTTCACTCACTGGGCGTTTCTTTCATCTCGCGGGGATGGAGCGGGCAACGCTGTCGAGCAAAACAACAGTTGCTACTAAAAACAACAGAGCCCCATCAAAGAGTGCTGGAGAGAAATTAATCTAAAATTTAAGCTAAAGGGATGAAGGTCCATTGAGGAAACAATGTGAGACTTCCATAAGCCTCTCAAGTTTCTCAAGTGACACACGCTTGTCTGCACAAGAAATGACTCTGCTGGACTCTATTTGTCATCTGCGCTGTTTGCGAATGATGAGAGATGAAAAACTTCTAAATAAAACTTCAAAATGCCTCTGAAGGTGTTTCTGCAAGTTATAAAAAGTATTGCTATAATGGTGAGTGAATGTCTGAACTCAGGTTTGGAATGGTTCATTTGGTGTAACAGCAAGTGTGCAGATAAGCAATTTGCCACCTAAGACACTGTTTATCTTCCAAGCTCATTTTATCTTGTGTCTCTCAAAGCCAGCGTTTACTGTCTATTGTATGTAATTTTTCTCTAGTTGTGCAAAATCCGCCGTAACAACTTCAGTGGCCATGCTGCGAGACCCAGACTTGCGCTTCATCGCAATGACAGCCACAGAAAGATGTTTACCTTCTTTACAGGCCCTCCTGCTGAGACACGTGGATTTGTTTCCAAAAAGATCGCTAGGTAAACATGTTTCTGAGACAGGCAGAATGCTCACACCAGAACTTACCAAGAGGGAGAACGGCTGTCGGGAGACTCGGAGCGGGAGTATGGAGACCTGGAGAGGGATCTGCGTCTGTGGTGAGATGAGGAACGGGAGCGGGAGATAGAGCGTGGCCAGCGGAGGTGCTGTGGCGAGAGCTGAGTGGAAGGAGGCGAGACAGAGCTCCATGAGAATGAACTGCTGGAAGGGGAGCTGGAGGGCGACCCTTCGAGGAGCAGCTCGAGTGGAGAACCTTCCCCCAAGTAGAGCAGGCGCTCCCGGCCTACCTCCAAGTTCTCAAAGTCAGGCAGACCCGGGTGTATGTAATCATTGAGAAGACTGAGGTACCCAACCCCAGAGTCACTGTCCTCTAGAGGCCGGATGCCCCTCTGCTCTCCCACTATCCTGCTATAGAAGGCTTGTTGAGGCTTTCCAAAGTGCTTGTTGAGCTCTTCCCGAATCTCCTGGTCCCTAAGTAGTTTCCTGTCAGCAGAGTTGCCATCCATTGACGTTCTGGAGCCCGAAGTGGAGTCGTGGTCCTGTCCGTGAGCATCCATGTCCGGACAAGCCTCCTGAACTTTGGGGGAAAGGCCCTGAAGCTGCCTGGCCAGAAAGGAAGACGAAGGGGAGGTGGAAGACAACGATGATGTAGAAGTAGAGGAGGCCGGCATGTTCGAGTCTTTACATTCCACATGCCGGCCCTCCATTGGCCCAGTTACTGCTGCAGCTGTAGTGGTGCTGTCTCGTTTTGTGCTTGTAGACTGGCAATAGTCGTGATCACCAAAGACGCGGGGCATGGGCCGCTTGCTCTGACGCTCCTCCAAGCCCCCTAGGTGCATTGTGGAGGATGCCTTGCTCAACTGGGCATAGAGCTCAGTCTGCTCTGGGCCCTTCCGAATATAGCCACTGTTTGGCTGAGGGCAAGAGCCCCCATTGCTCAGCCTGGGCCTTTTGCTTGTCAGGGCCGAGGGAGAGCATGAAGACAGCTTGTTTTTGAGTGATACTTTGAAAGGGTTCTCTTGACTGGCTTTGTGAGGAGGCGTGGTAGGTGGTGTCAGACCTGGAGGGAAGAAGAGACAAAAGATTTACCAAACAAGATCCTTCTCGTTCCTTAACAGTGCTTGGTCTGTCTCTAAGTGATTGAACAAGCAAGCACTTGAGCCTGATTAAAATATTCCCTTTCATTTAGACCTAATCCTTATCCGCATTTTATTGCAACCCTGACAGATTAATGTGACCTCAGATTGCACCGTGATACAGACAGAGCTACTCAATTAAACTTCCTCCAGACCGTAAACAATCCTAATTCATTAGAAAGTAAACAGTCAGATCTTAAAATGACACAGGTGCTTTCGACAAATGCATCAATGCCATACTCCTGGGACTACGATGAATGCACAGAGATGCGGGAGCTGTTATCATTCTCTTCATCTTTGCCACCTTTTCTTCTCATGAACCCCCAGCCGTCTTGACAGATTTATGTGCCAACAGATGGCATTTATATGGGAAGTCTTGAGATGTTCTGCTTTATGGCATGGCTAATGCACTTGCACTAACAACCGGAGGTAGTTCTTCTTTATTTTCCTCTACTTCTCCCTCTCTCTTTCTATTTCATCATCTCTCTGATTTCTGTTTTCCTGATCCAAACACACATTACGACAGTAACCTGTCTATACATTCATTTTCGGAATATTTTTCAGGACCACATCCTTTTACGACCACATCCTGAAACTGATATTTCAAACAAAATACCCACTAGTTAAAGGAATGTCCCTTTTACTGAATATCTCTTATTCTTTCTTCATCTGTCTACGTAAATCACTAAATGTAAAGCACAAGTCTGATTCGGCATACAAAACAACAGTGGCCATGACTAAATTTATCATTATGCCAATGCAATGAGCTGTGAAAAGAAAGCATGCACTGCCAAAGGAACTTCTGCTGCACCAATCAAACACCATCTGGGCATACAATGTACGCAGGGTCATAAACCAAGGACCATTATCGCCTTTAAATTACATTACACAAATTACATTACATAGCATTACATAAATATGCACTGTTCAGTTAAAGGCAGCCATGATGAATGTGCACAGATACAAACACTAATCATATACCGGTGGGTTCTCTCGTCTGTTTCTGGAAGTGTGTGAATTACGCAGGGACCTCTGAACGAATTATTACTTCAAGCTTACAGAACTGATCCCCGTGGTAATCTTAAAATGCCATGCAAGGAGCGTAACACAGACTGACCTGGGTGTTATATGATACCATAATTAAAGGAACCCCCGCTCAAGTTAATCTATTAGAGAGATGGGGATTAGGGAACGGTATTAAATCTGGCACTTTCATAGCGCTGGCTATTCCGCAGGTGTCAAGATGCTTTGCTCTGCAGTGAAACGCCTGGGCATTTTCTAATTCAACAGCACCGTAAAAGTGGCTTCTCGCACTGCTGTCATGATGGCACAAACCCCAGCGGAAATTTATTGTATGACTTCAGAGTCCCATCTGGCTTTACAGTGACTTGTAATCAGTTAATCTGGTGTGATCGTCAGTAAAGACATATGAGTATGAAGGGCTTAAGGTAGTCTATAGGACAGCGGACACATTATAGGAGAATGTAATCTAATGCTCATCAGAGAGTTTCAACAAAGCACTTTCCCTCAGCACTCAATTGCAAATCTGAAAAGAGGGTCTCTGCAACAAAAAATTGTGTAGCTTTCTTGGGTTTTGCATTAAACAGTGCTGGATTTTGCCTCAGGTTAGTAGGCACAAGCTCATGCATTAAATACAGAGATAAATGAACCCTTTAGCCTTGCATAAGAGGCTGTAAAGGTGACATCACATGACTCTGAAATCTTGACGCTAACACACATCTTTAATAAAGGGAATCAAGAACTCGAATAGCCAGTAAAAGTAATACAATTCCTCAAAATGTGTAGCTTCACTAAACAGCTATGACATAATCCACATTTGAGCAAAAACACCAAACACAGAGTTACATTGTACCCTCAGGCTAAGTCAAATCTGTACACTGAGGGCCATTACCTTGCAGTAAGTGAATACCAAATGGCCCATTCACCAAGACACATTGTGAGAGGGAAAGGGCAGCCATTTTGTTTTTATTGACCTGGAATGATTAATCTCAGCATGGGGGATACAGAAATAATTACCTGCATGATTTATGCTGAGAGAAAGAAAGTGAGAAAGGGGAGAACTGCTGAAGAGTTGTGTTTTAGCCCCAGCTGCAATACACTTCATGTGAGTTTAATTACTTTTGCTATGGGCAGAATATGCCCAAAACTCATTAAGGAAACCCTCCACCAGTCTGACCCCTTTCCAGTGCATCCTGGACTTTCAATCTCCACTGTTTCCGTGGTCTGGCGAACCCACCGAATTACCTTCCATCACAGATTGGTTGCAACACAGCGAGGAGGTCTGGGACTGGGCACATACTCACCTACTTCATGCCGTAAGGCGTCAAGAACAACAAGCTAACCGACATCGACGTCCCAGTCCCGAGTACACCCCAGGCCAATGGGTTTGGCTTTCAACCAGAGATCTACGCCTCCGACTTCCATGTAAAAAGCTCAGTCCCAGGTATGTTGGTCCCTTCAAAATTTCTAGACAAATATCTCCAGTATCATTTCGTTTGGAACTGCCCTCTAATTACCGCATTTCTCCCACATTCCATGTATCACTTCTGAAACCCGCTGGTGGTCCGAGAGGAGAGACGGAGGAGGGGGCCAGACCGCAGACCCCCCTGCCTTTCCTGGTTGATGGCGAGGAGGCGTATCGAGTGCACGAGTTGCTAAACTCCAGACGCCGGGGCGGTACCCTCCAGTATATGGTCGATTGGGAGGGGTTCGGTCTGGAGGAGCGATCTTGGGTCAACGCTGGAGATATCCTGGACCCCACACTCACTGAGGAGTTCCACAGAACGCATCCGGAGATACCGGCCCCCCGACCCCGTGGGAGACCCCGGCGTCGATATATATATATATATATCAGGGGCATTTCCTCTGAGGAGGCAAGGGAGGCAGTGTCTCCTCTCCTCAAAAGTGGATGAGAAAATAATCGATATTACAAAAATAAAGCAACGCAAATATGACTAAATATGACATTAAAGGCAGAGTAAGTGATTTTTCAAAAACACTTTAGAAAACTGATTCGGGCCGAATCGCAAAACAAACTTGTAGCCAATCAGCAATAAGGGGCGTGTCTACTCGTGATGTGGAGGAGAGCGCGTTCAGTGCATGGGACGGACATTAGCCGAGCCGAGCGACAGAAAGAAAGATCCAGATAATATCGGCAAAACCAAGTTGCTTGGTAAAACCAATTAAAACATTAATAATGCCACAACTATTTATCTCTGATGTATTGAAGCAGCCAGTTGCCCAGTCAAAAAGCATTAGAGTCTAAATGAGAAAGAGAGAATATTAACTCTTCAAAGGGGCAGATTGAAACTTTCCAATAAATCAGCCAAAGAATGAAAAAAGTCATCAATGAAGGACTGTGTAAATGTGACCATGTTCCATCAGTTCACCTTGAACCTTTTGCTTTAATTAAACTATCAAAGTAGGCTTGTAGAAATGTTATCTTTACTAGTTAATGATAAAAACAAACAAAAAAAACAAAAAAACCTGCAAGATTAACTACCAGACAAACGGAGGAAAGGGGGAGCTTTTGTGCCATTCATCTGTCTGTTTTAAGTACAATTTTCATTTTCTTTTTTTTGGTTACGAGATAAACCCTGTGTTTGTTTACCTGGGGTTCCACAGATCTCCACAGTCAATGTGCGTTCAGTGGTTTTGTTCTCAAACGGAGATCCCTTGTGGTCACTGTAACACACACACAAAAAAATAAAAATAAGAACAAGAACAGGGATGGAGTGCTGAAAGTGTTTGTGTGAGCTTACAAATGGAAATGAAATTAACAAAATGCCTCATCATTGGTGTTTTTTTGTTGTTTTATTTTAGTTCAGATTTTGTCTGCTCTACAAAAGTTGTGTAAAAACTCTCTCACTTACTTTGGAGACTCTGGGGTCAAAGGAAGTGGCAAGATGGTTGGTTTGGCTGCAGAACACAAAGGAGCATGGGTAATTAATTTACTAGTTCACACTGTGCCCAAGATATTTCAGGTCCACATCTACAACTAAATATCTTAGACTCAATCAGTGACAGTAATGATCCAACCCAGCAAATCCAACCCTGCACTGAAAGGCTAGATGACTCTCCAGCCAGACAGAAATTTTGGGTAAAACCAATAGTTGGACTAACTTGACCCCATAGATTTGTCTTTATCTGACTGCATACTTTGTGAGGCAGGATGAAGTGATGGCATGTGTTCAGTTTCCCAGCCCATCATACAAGGTCCACCACATTCCAACAGTAAGAATGAGTAGAAAATGTAAAACAGACTATGACATGAAAAAGAACGGAACAAATGTTTCATACTACTAAAATTAACTCTAACAAGAATATATTTTGCATGCAATTGAAACCAAAGCAGAGGAAGAAAGAAGAGTCAAGGAAGCGTGTGCAGTTGCCTGAGGCTGCGACCGTCTACAACTGCAGCTAGGGAGTATCTCTCAGTTAGACAGCTATATTATGGCAGCCTGAGAAAGAAGCTTTTCAGCACAGATCTGAGTTTGAAATTGGGCGACGTGATAGTTCAAAGTGTTGCAGGTGTTCCCCGTCTTTCATTTATAATTAATCTACAGACAAAGGTTTGTGCCAATTCAGAGGTTTACGTCTTGAAACTGCATCAGTGTTTGCTCCCAAGTAAATGTTAGGTTTGTGTTAGCGCTGTGGTTAGTGTGTGGTCAAACTGGGAAGCAGTTAAAGGAGGAGAGGCAAAGGAGGAAGGGCAGGGATGCAGCAATGATTACCTAACATTGGTGGGACTTGGTCATCAAGGTGCCTGCGGAGTGCCTGTTTTTGTGAGTCGGAGGGCGTGTGCTCTGGAACTAAAGAGTCTGGGAACAATGGGCTTGGCAGGCCCTGTGAGAATGACATGGGGCTGCCTATGACATCATCAAAAACATCCTCCCCAGCTTGGCCCACCAGATCATGCAAGCTGTCTCCTGTCACCTGTTCTGGCATGCTTAACCAGCTCTCTAGGTCTAATTTAAGCTCTGCTGAACACTCAAGATCGTTCTGGTCAGCCACACTAAATGCCTGCTCATGTAAGCTAGGTGCCTTTCTAGGGTGCTCACGACTAGCTTGCTCTAAGTTTCCGTGGCACTCTTGGACTCTAGAAGCGGTGTCAGGTAGGTCTCGCCTTTTATTCTGGGGGACACTGGGCAACTGCAGGTGAGCCCGGTAACGGGCCGGCCTGGGTCTGGGCCTGGAGGTGAGCAGCTGACTGAGCATGGGGTGCTCTAGCTCTTGCCTCCTTTTGCTAATGGTCACCGTGACGTGCCTATTAGCACAGCCAGCCTCAGCCAAGCCGCCCGCCTCAAGGCAATGACCACAGCTGCCTGCATGACCCGTCTCTCTAGGCGGGAGAGAGTAAGAGTGCATATACCTAATAAAGCGGGCAGCGGCCAAGCTGCCTGGGTCAACACCTGACTGCAGGCCTGGCGGCCTCCCCTCTTCGCCGGAGCAGGCATGGTCACAGCCGCCTCCGTGGGACAGCGCAATGGGGGCGGAGTGCTCCCCTTGAGTACACCGCCGCCACTTCCCCGCCCCCTCACCAGCCACACTGCACGTGCCGGCTGCCTGGCTCTCACCTCGCTGGGCCTGCACTGCCAGCTGCTGCTGCTGCTGCTGTGATGATGGGGAGGCAGAGGACGTCTTCTTTTTGGAGGCGGTGGAAGAGGAGCAGGACGACAGGGAGGAGAAAGAGGAGGTGGACGAGGACGATGGAGAGGAAGAAGATGAGCAGAAGGACGTGCAAGCCCCTCCCCTGTCCTTGCCGCAACCTGTCCAGGTGCTCTTGGCTTCCCTGGCTTTGGTCTGGAAGGCCTCGTCGCTAGAGGTGAGGTACTTGAGCAGCTCAGTGCAAGGGCGTCTCACAGACCGGTTGGGACAGGCCCCTCGTGGTTTGCTGTTCCAGGGGTTTTCTGTCTAAAGAACAGAAATCAGAGAGAGAAAGGGGGCAGAATGAGCATGGGATGTAACAGGGGACACTGGTAACATAGGGAGATTAGAACAGGGAGTAAGCGCAGAGGTGGTTTAGTCTCCCAAAAGGCAACGTGAGTGTGCTTTGCCCATCATCTTAATTACAAGGTCTTGGAACAGCTCCAGGAAGATCTGCACGAAGGCAGCAGGAGGAGACGGCGGTGTCCTCTGGGACCCTGCCATGTGCAGAGCTCCAGAAACAGAGGAGTCAAAGTCATTATGGAAAATTAACTCATCAAAGAGAGTTGCGCATGTGCGTGAGCATGTTTGTGTGGAGGGGAGAGAATTATGCATGATGTTCACCTCAAATAACTACTCATTTTTCTTCTAGTTTACAACATGACTGGGCCTGTGGCAATAAATCATTGTTTTTGTGACAATGAGACCAACAATGCTAATTCTATCAAGACATCTTAGCGTTTTCTTTTTTCATGGAAATGAGAAGGTGCCATTCAGAAGTCCTGAACTTCATCAAGGGTAACGTAACTTTAGATGAGACAGCCACAACACCTCCATCACACACACAACTTAATCATGCTTTAGCTCCCTGGAGGGAGCAGACTATTTGTATAATTTATCAGAAAGGAAAAATTACATGGAACTAGCAGATGAGCTCACACACCAGGACTTTGATGCAAGAATTGCAGCGAGCAGCTACCTTGGCAACAGCAGGTGTTGGTCTGATCCGTTGGTTGCTGGCTGCATGGTTCTGTGCCTTGCCACCTGGGTATTGATTATAGCTGTGCTGGGAGTTAGCAGGTGCCAGGAGAAGCTTCTTCAGCTACAAACAGAGCAGAGAAACAGATCACAGGGATTACAGCTATGAATTTAAAACAAAATGCAAAGATCTCCAAACAACACTTACATTTACATTGCATTTATGCATTTGGCAGATGCTTTATTCAAAGTGACTTACATTGCATCCACGGTATACAGTTTATCAGTTCATGCATTTTCTGGGAATCAAACCCATGACCTTGGCAGGCTATGAATCAGATATATCAGACTATTAGTGTGGCAGCATGTCAAGCAGATAAGGTGCAATGCTTTTTCTGTGATGCTCAGAATGTTACTGAATTTATGGAGCCCGGTGTGAACATTAAAGTGCTAATGTTCATAAAATAAATGCAAGGTGGATTTCAATTTGTTTGCTGTTTACTGCTAGTTTATTAAAGAAAATGCAAATTAAAATAGTCTACTTGATTAAAACGAATTATTTCAGCATATTTCCCATTGCTTCAGCTTGACAGTGTTGTGCATGTTCCTTTCTGCAGTACTGAACAATGCAATTAACACCTCGGGAACACTGATCTATTTAGATTTGCTGTTTCAAGAGCACCGTGGCTATGTTTTGTGCGCAGACATCAATAAGAGATTGCCAGAGCTGCTGTCTGGCGAGTATGTACCAATTTTTGGTGATAGGCCTGCAGCATCCCCTTATCTGGTGTTAGTGAAGACCAGACAGAGGGAGCAAAGTGAAACACAGTGGGACCGAGAAAGAGCGAGGGAAGGAAACAGAATGAGAGGGCCATACTTCATGGTGAAATAGGATTAGGCACAAGGGACGCACGGACGGGGAGGGTCTCTTACCAGGGAAGGCTCATCTGGCTCTGGGGTGCGTGGCGAGCCGTCTGGGGTGGAAGGACAGCTCTGATCACTGGCATTGGTCACGTCCCCATCTGCCAGGGCCTCGAACGAAGGCAACCCGTCTTCGTCCACTGGGATACTGTCCAGGGTTTCTGTGAGCTGTTCTGCCTAAGCCATTGTATTCCTGAAATATAACTTATGCCACTGATAACAGGTAGCATGGTCCTTTTCTTTTACTCCATCTTTGCGGCTGGAAAAAAATCGGTCCGATATCATTTGAGGATCTAGGCCACAGGTAACGAATGAATATAAAAAAGAGCAAAATGTGAGTTTCGTATTTTGATCGTGTCTGTGGCCTTGCATCTTCACCGTGACAGAGAGGGAAAACTCTGCAGTAATAAAACCTAGAAAGTCAATTACTCAGAGTGCATTTTACAACCGAAGTCTTGCACCATCGCAAAGAAGACATTAAATGGCCTAGAATGAGTGGGAAAAGGTTAAAGTGAAGATTGATGTATTTTTCTTTCTCTTTTTGTTCTCTCTGAAACCAAAACAGAGTTTGTTTTCATCTGACAGGAAAAAAAAATAGATTAAGATTAATTGTTCACAGCTCTAAAATGGTTTTGCTCCATTCATTATTTGACTATAATTTTACTTCTTCGAGCTGTGAAGCAAGCAAAGTTTGTACACAATTCAGAATTTAATTAAGAATGCCTTTTACATTTCAATTCAACTCGTGAATTTGAATAGAGATAGTAAATAAGATGCAGAATTGCAATTAAGATAAACTGTAAATTTTAACTTGAAAAGCAAGTTGGTTGCATGCTAGTTGGACAAAGCCAAAGCCTCATTTGATAGTTTTGAAAAAAGTTTAAAAAACATGAATGTTTATAGGACTTATGGAACAACAGAATGATAGGTCTCTTTACTTCTCATTTTAGGTGGCTTCTCATTAGTATATTGTCTCTCATTAGTATATTCTGCACTGTGCAGTCTGTGCCTGGTGTTGTGGGTGGGAAGAGAGAGAATACATGTCAACAAATACATTTTGAACAAATCCAGAACTCCAATAAAGACAATAAAAGACATCATAAATATTAGAAGTCACACATAATATTGTTCTCTCACATTAACAAAAACATTCCACTGTAAGCCTTCCTCAATAAGCCTAACCAGATCTTGTCACAGTATACGTACATGGCACAGCAGTCATATGTCATACTCAAAAATAGGATTCTGCCAGTGGAATCACCAGAACTATTTCAAACCTCATTTCCCCCGCAAATGATCCTGCAAGCTGGGCACCGAGGCATGCCTGCTCCAGAGGCAATGATCACGGAGAGACAGAGTATGGCAAAGATTAACTTTTCATAACCCGCACCAACATTACCACCCCCCTGACTCTGTCTGGACCAGAAGCTTGAATAGGCAGTAATCAAACTAATCAGCAAACAAGTACAAGTCAGTTTGTATGCAAACAACCAGAATAATACATAGTTAAGAGGGAAATTAAAATATAATACTGATAAATTAATATGTGCTTGCAAGTGCCCACAAAAAACAAAAACAAAAAACTATTTCTACCTAGAAATAATTGCTCTCTTGCACAAAGTGAAAGAGCCGAAAGTGAAAAATAAAAGGCTAGCAACAAACTGACATGATCTAAATGGATGCACTGAACATAAAGAGAGAAAGAGGAGTTTGCATGCTGTTTTTTAGCTGTGGCGCAACAGATGGTCCACAGCTCTCTTTCTAATGCAATTAGAATAAACTTAGTTTTCGGTGCTCAGACATATTGACGCACTGCTTATTTTAGAAACTCACCCAATAATGCTGACACTAGGGTGCTCGGATTCCTAAAGAGCTGGAGTCTAAATATTTTAATTCAGCGGAGAAAAGAAAAACTCACTTCATTATTCCTTTCTGAAACGTGCATGCAAACAGAACTTCGCTTAAGTCTGAGGTGGCAAATCTGCAGAGGTAGGCAAACTTTTGTGAGAATAAACATATTCAGGATGGTGATCATGCTATGATGTGCTAGACAATACAAGCAAGCAGGAAGAGGGGGATGAAAGGAAAAAGAGTCCAATGCAGCAGGAACTGCCATGTATGTGGAAACAAGAAAACATGGACATATAAAGTTGGTATTTAAGCGTGTAAAGTCACCCTTTTCTCTCGTTAAAAGTGCTTTGTTACCCTCCAGATCCCCCTCTGACCTTTCGGCTGCTGGCAGGCTTATGAGCAGCACACCGGCGGGGCGGCCCATCATTTGTCACCCTGATTTCAGCAGCAGGACACATCATCACTGGCACTGCACCAAACACGCAGAGGAGCGACAACAAAGGAGAAAGACAAAACTACAGTACTCTTTCTATAATAAAGCATGTGTTAACTGCACAAGGGTCAGTTGTGTCTGTATGAAGACAGAGGGCAAAAAAGTGCTTACAGACTGCATGACTGCATGCATGTACGTTTTATCGCAAACACCTGCTCTCGGACAAGTATCCATGAGGAACGAGTGAGGTTACAGACTCCAATATCAAAAAATGTACGGTAATTGAAACCACCAAATGTGTGTGGAAATGCAGTCAATTTGATTCGGCTGCAAAAGGTCATGCTATTCAATTTACACTCAATGCTGAGTACAGTAGCCAGCAAAACACCTGAAAGCAAATGATCTTATCAGAACCTACAGCATTGCTCAAACCCCACTGGATAAAAGCTATTTGCTGATTACTAAATAAATGCATTATCTTTTACCTTGACTTCAATCTCCAGTAGGTGAGGGAAGATCTATCTGACCTTGGCTTTGTGAGACGATTATTCCCATTATGCTTCAAATTCCCATTATGCTTTTTTTCTTCTCCTTTTTCAGTCTTTTTTGTATATATATATATATATATATACAGTATATATATACGAGTGTG